AGGTGGGCCCTCTGTTTTCAGATAGGTGATCGGGCCTCGGCGAGGTTAACCAGAATACCCGATGGTCTATGTCAAAGCCTAACCTGTTTCTTCAACACCACGCAGCCTTGCAGGGGGCAATTCCTCTCCCATTTTCTCCTCTGGGGAGTTCTCCCTCCGGAAACTCTGCCCTGGGTTCTCCTCAGCAAAGCCTAGAAAAATTCACTGGAGCTGATTGTAGGTGGAAGCATGCGTCTGTGCTGATTGGGACAGAGCATCCTCTGAGGGCTGTCTCCCATGAGGCAATAGCTAAGGAGGTCCAGAAGGGTGCCATCTGGGAGAGGCTCCAGAAAAACAGACCAGCTCACTCGGCCTTGTTCTTCTGGTTCCCAAACCTGAAGAACTGTTTGATCTTGCACAGACGTCAGCTGGCTCAATGGGTGACCACTGCCAACTGCAGAGACATCTCAGGCCTCTCGAGCCAAAGCCAGATTCACAACAAGCACTAGGTGATCCGAGGCCAATGGCATTTCCTGCTCAGCCTTTCTCTTTGGGAAGAGAGAGTCTTCAGGACCTGGGTTCTTCAGGGCTGCGCATGTGGAGCACCTTTCACGACCCGGGGGTGTTTGAATATCAGTGGTTGAGGCCCACACACTGGCAATCACTTGGCTGCATGTTTTCGAGCCCTTGGGAGTGGGGGGGATTTGGGGGATGGAAAAGGGGTTGTGAAATGCTGCTTCTGGCTTTCCTTCAACGGTGGGAATGATCGTTGATATCCTCCTAATACACCAAGGGACCAGGCCTCATGACTTTTTCGGCTGATTTCTGTGTGTTAGAGGCTGAGCTCACTTCCTGGGGAACCCTGAAGGGATAACGTAAGTCACCTCAAAACTGATCGATATCTGTGTGGTTGCCTTTGGAAACAGCAAATCAAAAAACCCAAGTTAGTGTGGTTTTTAACTCTCCCTCTCTCTCTCTCTCACTTTTTATTTCAAGATGTAGGTGATCTAACAAGATCTTTATTTGAAATCAAATGTCTCTGACTCAGGTTCTGAGCTGTGGTAAACTGTAAACTGCTGATGACACTGGGTTAAACTTCACTGATAAGATAGATTTGATAAAATTTTTTGATCTTTAAAAAGCAATCAACAGCAGGATGCCAAACTTTATGTAAAGTATATGCATAATCTCACTCATGCCAAAAAGTTTTTATCTGTTTATATGAATATGCATTAAAAAGTAACAAAGGTCATTTGAATGTTAATGGTGGCTATTTTCAGATCATGGAAACACAGGTGATATTTTTACTTTCTTCTTCATGCTTTTCTGTGTTTCCCTAGCTCTTTAGATGAGGCGCAGAATTACCTTTATAAGCAGGGGGAAAAAAGGTATTTGAAAAAAGCCAAGCTACCCCTACAGCAGTAGTCACCCACTATTACAAAATTCCAATATTTAACAAGACGCTTAAGATGTGAAAAACTGGAAAGATTTCTTTTGAATAGAGGGATTTTCAGTAAGACAAGGAACGCCGTAGGTCCTTATTATTTTCTTAATCAGACGTCCAGGCCCCCTCTGACTCCTCTCTTATTTCATGAAACAAGCCAGTTAGAGAAAACCATATTTATAGAAAGCATGGTGCCACACAGAAGCCTGGGACTTCTAAATGTGTCACCCCACCTCCAGAAGCCAGGTCAATGGTCCTGAAGGTTGAGGCTGGGAAAACACTGACCGAAATGAAAACCGGGGGCCCTCTAGCAGGGTCACCACCCCGTCCTGCAGGCTTGTGGGAGCATCTGAACAGACACAAGAGGCGGGTCAGAGGCCCCAGTTCTGCTCACAGCTGTGCCATTAACCACCTGGGCCATCCCCAGGCGTGCACACGACCCCTGTGCGCCTGCCTCCCCGCACCTGTCCCTAGATGACGTCGGCTCCAGCTCTAGGGTCCTGTTTTCCCCGGGGCTGGAAAGAACGGCACGACCAGGTTTAAAGCGCACCACTGGAGACCCATTGTCCCTATCCAACCAGGCCACTCCTTCCCGGGAATTGCCACTTAGCCTCCCGCACACAGCAGGTTTCCTCACCCCTGGGTTTCAGGTGTCCTCCCTCGGGAAGGTGTTGCAAGGCCTGACTAATGCACACGAGCGTCCCAGTTAGGGCGCTGCGCGGCGCGGGCGCGGGGAGCTCCAGCCGCCCCC